CAGCGGGAAGCCTGCTTCTCCTTCTCCCACTCCCGCTGCTTGTGTTCACTGTCTCACTGTTAGAGATCTCTCTGTCAAATAAATAAATAAAATCTAAAAAAAAAATTAACCTAAGATGAACAATCCACTTCCTTGTATAAGAAAGAAAATGGAACTCTGACTTTAGTACCTTATAAACCCAAAGGTACATCCAAACCCTGCAGAAGAGGAGGAAAAGCTGCTTTTAGCTGCTTCTGAACTATTAGATCTGGTATGAAAATTGACCTCAGAATAATGCAGTGTTTCTTTATTTTCACCATCTATTGACTGTTGACTTTGTCCTTCAGCTGTATGGCTTCCATGAAGTAATTAGCTTCCATGAAGGCAATTTATTGTTAGCACAAGCTCAACAGTTGAGGTACTACTATTACACTCACTTATGATAAGGAAATTTAGAGGCTCAGAGAGTTTAGATTAACAATATAGATATTTTAATAAATCCACCATTAAATCTCAGCTATTACTAAATTTTCACTTTTAGGATTGGGGTAGAAGGATCTACTTCTATTTAATATTTATAAATTTTTCTTATTATTTATTTTTTAAATTTACTCAGTATGTAGAAATAAGTAGAAATAAGAAAATAAAAATTTGTAAAGCGAAAGAAAAAATTTCTGCTAAGCCACAAAGTAAACAAAACAGTGAAATCTTCTTCCTAATACATGTTTACAATAGTAACTTATTATTAAAAGGAATGAGAAAAATGGGATGATGTATTATAAGACACCAAGAAGAAGATCTAATCGACCTGAAAAATAAGAAATTCACCTAGAAGAAAGAAAAAATAAAATCCAAATCTAATGTTCAGACTTGTAAAAGAAAAATCTATTGAAGGGGTGCCTGGCTGACTCAGTTGGTAGAGCACATGACTCTAGATCTCAGGATTAGTTTGAGCCTCAGGTTGTGCATGGAATGTAGTTAAAAAAACAAAAGAAAGTAAAATCTATTGGAGATAAGCACATTCCTATACCAAAGTAATGGATTCATTGTTGACTCTGTTGTTTTATTTTGCTTTTGTCTTTTCTTTATGGCATAATTTATATACCCTCTATCCCCAAATTGTAAGGAAATTATAAGGGACATTCCAGATAAGCTATCTGGTGCTTATGAGCCAAATAAAATGTCATATTTCTCCCCTTCATTTCAGGCACACAGTCACACTTGTTTGATTTGGTATTTTTCTTATTCCAACTTCCAGAAAACTCTCTCCACTCTGTGCTTAACAATTTGGTCAATTCACTGTAATAAAACTGGACAACAATGTAGAATGACTTGTAGTATATATTAACATGAATGATTAAGAAGTCAATCTGCCACCTCCCTTTCCAAATCATAAGATTTTAGGGTATCCTACACAAGATTCATTATTTATAACGTTCAAATTTATGTCCTAAGCTCCTTAAAACAGCACTGTCTCAAGAATGTGATATGGACCTACACACTGAAAAACTTCTTTTTCCCCAGACAAAATCACATGGTATCAGTATTTCTAATTCTGCTGGTTCCTTAATCACTTGCTTTCTTAAATCCTTTCTCTAGCCCAAAGGATCATCTAATGAAGGCCTACACAGATTAATGAATAAGAACATAGACTACGGAGATAACCTCAAACCTGGACTTACTCATCTATACCATATATTCATTTGATCTACAGCTTTTTTTCTTTTAATTTATTTATTTGCGAGAGAGAGGGGGGACGAGCAGGGGAAACAGTGGAGGGAGAGAGAGAAGCAGTCTCTCTACTGAGTTGGGAGCCTGATATGGGGCTAGATCCCAGGACCCTGGGATCATGATCTAAAGAGAAGGCAGATGCTTAACCAACTGAACCACCCAGGTGCCCCAACCTACAGCTTTTTCAGCTGGAAACTAAGGAAAGCAAATTGAATCTTAGAGCATTATTTTGCATACTAAATGCTTCAATATGTAGTACACCCTCAGCATTATACCCTGCCATACAGTAAATCTCCGAACATGATACGACAATGAGAAGGACAATGTTGAAGGAGAAAAGAAGACAGAAGCTATTTTTCTCCAATTATTTCTTAGGAATTTATGGTTCAAATTAAAGTTTGTCCAAGTCTTCCACTCCAATAATAAACTGCAATCTACAATACTCAAGCCTATAAAGACGATAAAATTCAGGACAGATACCATATTGGAGACATAGAGTCCAATTGAGGGTATTTGTTTATTCCTCAATGTACTATCAAGAACAAATTGGTAGAGGAGTGAAAAAATTATTTTTATGAGGCAGAATGTGATCACATTCCCACAGAAAGATCATGACATAGGCAGTCAGGTGGTTAGGGTTCTAGCCCTGTTTCTTCCTTTAATTTGAATAATCAGAGCAAGTCACTACCCTCTTCTAGGTCACATACTCTCTCCATCCCCCAAAGAGGAATTGATACTATACGATCTCTAAGAACCTTCAAGAATTAACATTCTACCTTTTTGTGAGGGAAAGGAAAAAAGGGTGTGGCGTGAACACTAATGTAGCATACAAATGTACTTCCAATGTTCGGCCTTTTAAGTGTGCAGTGGCCAGACTTACAAGGAAAAGCTAGGTATCCTAATTACTCTCTTTGCCATCCTCTTCTTGTCCTCCATTCTTCCCATACTGTTTTTTACCATCTTGTGGCTCATTACCCCATCTCAAACTCTCAATACAAAGCTGGTTTATATCATAAAGAAATAAAAGTTGCTTCACTGAAATCTAGTAACTTAAATATTTATATCCACTCAAAAAGAAATCCAAACTTACTATTCTATGATTACTTCAAAGGAAGGGAGGGAAAAGCAGAACAAGAACAAAGAGTTAGTTTGAGAACTTAGGTGGCAAAGCTAGTTCAAGCAAAACGAAAGAAATTTTTAATGCACAGAACCCCTAATTAATTCAAAATGATACAAAGTTAAACAGAACTAGTTAGAGGTGGAGGTGAATAGACTATAGGAGAAAGTGATCACTCCAAGTCAAGGACATTCATATTTGAGAGGTTAAGTATGTATAATGTAGTATTTATAAATAGGAGAACATGAAAGAGCACTAAAAGGAGATAGCATAATATATTATTAAACCACAAATGGTACTTGTTAATTTTTATTAAATATGTCTTAAAAGAAAAAGATCACAAGTTAATCATAGAGCTAGTATAGTGCTATTTATTATATTCTACCTCAACACTAATTAGTTCAAGGAGGGATACATGTCTCAGCAGATCAGTGAAAATCACTTTAGAATTTCTGGTAAAATACTGGAAAAGAAATCGTTCTTTATATTGGACTTGAAGTGTGAGTTACCACATAAAAGACCTGACAACATTTTCAGACCAATATGCCTGAAGCATGAAATCTTCTCCCTGTGGCTTTCACTTATAAATACTATTAAATTCTTTCTTGTGCTTATGCCAGAGTATTTATTACTGACTTCCCTGAGTAATACAACTTGTCAACCTTTATATATGCTTGGCTTTGTGACTGATCAAATGAGATGTAAAGATGATTTTTTAATACAATCCTTGTTTTAAAAAAATGGCAAGATACAGAATAATAAATGTAACAACAGGCTGATCTCTGGCACCATGTAACAAAAAATATATTCTTGGGTCATATGTATTAGGTCATCCTGATACTTATTATAATACTCTAATACAAGAATATGAAAGAGAAAAGAGGGTTGCTAAAAGGTAGCTGGAAATGATTTTATTTTGTTTTAAGATTTATTTATTTGTTTGAGAGAGAGAGCACAAGTGAGTAGAAAAGGGTCAGAGGGAGAAAATATCCAAGCAGACTACTGCTGAGCATGGAGTCCTGTGTGGCACTGGATCTCACCACCTTGAGATCAGGACTTAGGCCAAAACCAAGAGTCAGGCACTTGACCGACTAAGCCATTTTATTTTTATTTATTAAAAATTGAAAAATATTTTATTAAAAATAAAATAGGCACACCTATTTTATTTTTATGATTTAAAATTTTAAGTAATCTCTACACCCAACATGGGCTCAAACTCACAACCCTGGAATCAAGAGTCAGAGCCAGGTGCCAGGTGGGAAGTATTTTAAAGATAATAAATGAGATCAGAATTAAAAAGTCTTCCAGAGAAATGCTCAAGAGTTGACAACATACTAGTTGAGTATTCTATCTAGTACTCTTGTTCTATTTTGCATGCTAACATTTGCCAGAATAACCTTTGAGCCCATTAAAATGCACATGCCAAGGATCCCCATGGAGAGAAAACTATTAATAGATTTGGAATAGATGATGCCCACCCACCTCTTCCCCACCTCCTGATGGAGAGACCAATCAGAAAGAAACCATGAAAAAGAACACAGTCTCACCAGAAAGGAAGGCTTTCTAGGTATATGAAATATTTTTAGTATCAAAAAATTTGTCAGGAAACAAGGGTTTGTAGTCACTTGTACGTAGTAGCAACTTTCAAAGTGTATCTTGCAACTCATTAGAAGAGACCCACACCAATTTAGTGAGACTAAGATTATGGTAAAAATAAAAGAGAATGAAGAGTATATCATACCTACTAAGGTTAGTATTGTTTATAAAATGTTTGTTTCAGGGTGTGTGTGTGTGTGTGTGCATGTAAGTCATGTGTGAACTGGGAGAAAATATAAGATGTATTTCTTACTAGGGGTTGCGGTCACAAAAGTCTAAAAGCTACTGGCTTTCAGATATAGCAAAAGACACAAAAAAGAAAGACATAATACAGAACCCTCCAAGACAGATCAATAATAAGTCTTCTATTGAAATGTGAGAAATTCTATGCGGAGAGATCAGCAGACCCTATAAAAATGGACTCATCTTTCAGAACAATATCTAAGACCTAAAGGACACCTGGAGAAAAAGAAAACATCATGAAAATAATAATGATCAAATTTACATATCTTAATGTAAAATACTTTTAATTGGCACATTCTTTACCCACAGTCTCAGATGTCAGCGCAGACCTTACCTGAAAGTGTCTTTTGGTAAGAAACACATTGATATCTCCACAAAGAAATAGCAGATCTCTCCCGATTCTGCAGGCCATTTAGTCTTTCTGCTAGCCCGCCTCTGTTTAATGAATTATAATATATTAAGTTAGTTAAAAGAGAAGTTTCAGAATAGTTGGAACATTTATATTTCATACTCTCCCACCAGAGACAAATAGATAAAACAGCAATTCTAACTTATCTGGCATTACAGGGTCTTCCTAGGGGCCCAAACCTCCAAGATCAGTAATCTTTTTTAAGATTTCTTAGAAGCTCAGTTTCTTGATTCTTAGAAATACAAGCTACTCTCAGATCAGTGTGACTTCCTTTTTATTCTTTCCTAGTTTATTTATTTCATAAGCATATACTGATCACTTCTTGTTCTACCTAGCAAAGTACTAGATGCAAGGAATATAAAGAAGGCAATGAGCCATGCTTTGCGGGAGCCTCACAATCTGCTCATCTCACAATCTGACAAAACATATAAATTAAAGTGTGGTCAGAATTGTAGTCAAGAATAAAACTGCCAAAGGAAAAAAAAGAATAAAACGGGTAAACTGCAGATAGGCAGAACATTAAATAAGAAAATTTGGGTATGGGCTTATTATTTGGACCACAGAGACAACACAGTATTAATCACAAGCATATAGCAAGGATACTAACATTATAAAAATAAAAAAATATTAAAAACTTCCATGTATGGCAGGAAGAGAATTCATAAAATGAACATGCTTCACAAAAACTCTTAACCATCAATGAATAATATGTATATCATACTATTACACATGATTACATTAATATATCAATTATATTATACTAATATTTATATATCATATTATATACATTATATATTATAGTTATACACTGCTATATAATCATTACATTGTTATATATTATACGATGTAATAAATGTAATGTAGTAAGTATATCTTATATTAACATAATACAATATTATATTAACATAATTAAATCATATATAATATGTATATTCATTGATATATATATTATAAACACATATAAACAAATATATGCAAACATTTTGGATTCAGTAAACTATCTAGGGTCAGAGAGTCAGCAGCTTCAAACACACCTGTGCCCTCAAGAGAAGTCAGGATCAGTTATTAACCACCATTATGACCACATGCTACATAATTTATCAGTATATGATCTCAAACAATCATGTATCCAGATCATATCAAACACAGATAATGTACTGAAGATCGACAGGTAAAAGAGATCATTTTATAGATATAATTAGATCATTTTATTCTAATAATATACCTTTATTAAAAAAGAACAAATATTAATAGCTACCAAATAGATGATAAAACGGGGAGGAGTCAAGATGGCGGAGAAGTAGCAGGCTGAGACTACTTCAGGTAGCAGGAGATCAGCTAGATAGCTTATCTAAAGATTGCAAACACCTACAAATCCAACGGGAGATCGAAGAGAAGAACAACAACAATTCTAGAAACAGAAAATCAACCACTTTCTGAAAGGTAGGACTGACGGAGAAGTGAATCCAAACCGACGGGAAGATAGACCGCAGGGAGAGGGGCCGGCTCCCAGCAAGCGGCGGAGCAACGGAGCACAAAATCAGGACTTTTAAGTCTGTTCCGCTGAGGGACATCACTCCAGAGGTTAAACCGGGGTGAAGCCCACGCGGGATCAGTGTGGTGGCCTCAGGTCCCGCAGGGTCACAGAAGGATCGGGGGTGTCTGAGTGTCACAGAGCTTACAGGTATTAGAACAGGGAAGCCGGCTACAGACACAGAGCCGAGGAGTGAGCTCTCAGCTTGGGGTTACCTTGAATCGGTCGCAGGCTCGGTCAGCTCGGAGTGTGGCCGGAGGCCAGGGTGACGGGAGTAATTGGTTGCTGTTCTCTGAGGGCGCACTGAGGAGTGGGGTGCCGGGCTTTCGGCTCCTCCGGGCCGGAGACTGGGAGGCCGCCATCTTAATTCCCGTCCTCTGGAACTCTTCGGAAAGCGCTCAGGGACCAAAGGCTCCCGAAAGCAAACCCGAGCGGATTACTCAGCCCGGCCCCTGGTAAGGGTGGTGCAATTCCGCCTGAGGCAAAGACACTTGAGATCCACTACAACAGGCCCCTCCCCCAGAAGATCAACAAGAAATCCAGCCAGGACCAAGTTCACCTACCAAGTAGTGCAGTTTCAATACAAAGAAGAGAAGCGGAATTCCAGAGGAGGAGAAAGCAAAGCACGGAACTCATGGCTTTCTCCCCATGATTCTTTAGCCTTGCAGTTAATTTAATTTTTTTTTCTGTTTCAATTTTTTTTGCTTCTTCTGCTAAATTTTTTTAAACTTTTACCCTTTTTTTTAACTTTTTTAACTAGTTTATCTAATATATATATATTTTTTTCCTTTTTATATTTTTTCTTTATTGGTTTTCATTTTTTAATTGTTTCTTTCTTTTTCTTTTCTTTTCTTTTTTTTTTTTTTCTGAACCTCTTTTTATCCCCTTTCTCCCCCCTCACGATTTGGGATCTCTTCTGATTTGGCTAAAGCATATTTTCCTGGGGTTGTTGCCACCCTTTTAGTATTTTACTTGCTCCTTCATATACTCTTATCTGGACAAAATGACAAGGCGGAAAAATTCACCACAAAAAAAAAGAACAAGAAGCAGTACCAAAGGATAGGGACCTAATCAATACAGACATTGGTAATATGTCAGATCTAGAGTTCAGAATGACGATTCTCAAGGATCTAGACGGACTCGAAAAAGGCATGGAAGATATTAGAGAAACCCTCTCGGGAGATATAAAAGCCCTTTCTGGAGAAATAAAAGAACTAAAATCTAACCAAGTTGAAATCAAGAAAGCTATTAATGAGGTGCAATCAAAAATGGAGGCTCTCACTGCTAGGATAAATGAAGCAGAAGAAAGAATTAGTGATATAGAAGACCAAATGACAGAGAATAAAGAAGCTGAGCAAAAGAGGGACAAACAGTTACTGGACCACAAGGGGAGAATTTCAGAGATAAGTGACACCATAAGACGAAACAACATTAGAATAATTGGGATTCCAGAAGAAGAAGAAAGAGAGAGGGGAGCAGAAGGTATATTGGAGAGAATTTCCCCAATATGGCAAAGGGAACAAGCATCAAAATCCAGGAGGTACAGAGAACCCCCCTCAAAATCAATAAGAATAGGTCCACACCCCGTCACCTAATAGTAAAATGTACAAGTCTTAGGGACAAAGAGAAAATCCTGAAAGCAGCCCGGGAAAAGAAGTCTGTAACATACAATGGTAAAAATATTAGATTGGCAGCAGACTTACCCACAGAGACCTAGCAGGCCAGAAAGGGCTGGCATGATATATTCAGAGCACTAAACGAGAAAAACATGCAGCCAAGAATACTATATCCAGCTAGGCTATCATTGAAAATAGAAGGAGAGATAAAAAGCTTCCAGGACAAACAAAAACTGAAAGAATTTGCAAACACCAAATCAGCTCTACAGGAAATATTGAAAGGGGTCCTCTAAGCAAAGAGAGAGCCTAAAAGTAGTAGATCAGAAAGGAACAGAAACAATATACAATAACAGTCACCTTACAGGCAATACAATGACACTAAATTCATATCTCTCAATAGTTACCCTGAATGTGAATGGGCTAAATGCCCCAATCAAAAGACACAGGGTATCAGAATGGATAAAAAAACAAAACCCATCTATATGTTGCCTACAAGAAACTCATTTTAAACCCGAAGACACCTCCAGATTTAAAGTGAGGGGGTAGAAAAGAATTTACCATGCTAATGGACATCAGAAGAAAGCAGGAGTGGCAATCCTTATATCAGATCAATTAGATTTTAAGCCAAAGACTATAATAAGAGATGAGGAAGGACACTATATCATACTCAAAGGATCTGTCCAACAAGAAGATCTAACAATTGTAAATATCTATGCCCCTAACGTGGGAGCAGCCAACTATAGAAACCAATTAATAACAAAATCAAAGAAACACATCAACAATCATACAATAATAGTAGGGGACTTTAACACTCCCCTGACTGAAATGGACAGATCATCCAAGCAAAAGATAAACAAGGAAATAAAGGCCTTAAATGACACACTGGACCAGATGGACATCACAGATATATTCAGAACATTTCATCCCAAAGCAACAGAATACACATTCTTCTCTAGTGCCCATGGAACATTCTCCAGAATAGATCACATCCTCGGTCCTAAATCAGGTCTCAAACGGTATCAAAAGATTGGGATCATTCCCTGCATATTTTCAGACTACAATGCTCTGAAGCTAGAACTCAATCACAAGAGGAACCCAAATATGTGGAGACTAAACAGCATCCTTCTAAAGAATGAGTGGGTCAACCAGGAAATTAAAGAAGAATTGAAAAAAATTCATGGAAACAAATGATAATGAAAACACAACGGTTCAAAATCTGTGGGACACAGGAAAGGCAGTCCTGAAAGGAAAATATATAGCGGTACAAGCCTTTCTCAAGAAACAAGAAAGGTCTCAGGTACACAACCTAACCCTACACTTAAAGGAGCTGGAGAAAGAACAATAAAGAAACCCTAAACCCAGCAGGAGAAGAGAAATTATAAAGATCAGAGCAGAAATCAGTGAAATAGAAAACAAAAATCCAATAGAACAAATCAACCAAACTAGGAGCTGGTTCTTTGAAAGAATTAATAAGATTGATAAACCCCTGGCCAGATTTATCAAAAAAGAAAAGAGAGGGCGCCTGGGTGGCTCAGTGGGTTAAGCCGCTGCCTTCGGCTCAGGTCGTGATCTCGGAGTCCTGGGATCGAGCCCCACATCGGGCTCTCTGCTCAGCAGGGAGCCTGCTTCCTCCTCTCTCTCTGCCTGCCTCTCTGCCTGCTTGTGATCTCTCTATCAAATAAATAAAAAAAAAAAAAAGAAAAGAAAAGAAAAGAGAAAGGACCCAAATAAATAAAATCATGAATGAAAGAGGAGAGATCACAACTAACACCAAAGAAATATAGACAATTATAAGAACATACTATGAGCAACTCTATGCCAACAAATTTGACAATCTGGAAGAAATGGATGCATTCCTAGAGACATGAAACTACCA